TTAAGGGTTTGGGGTTTAGGGGCTTAGGGTCAAGGGTTTAGGGTTCAGGAGCGGCTAAGAAAGGCCTGTCTATAGGGCCTGTAGGGCCTAGAACTTAGAGGGTTTTGGCAGTCGTGGAGGCGCTGGTCATGGCCTTTTTAGAGGAAAAGCCAAAGCCTCAAAGGCTGGAGGTCCCAAAGGTGTAGGGCTTAGGGTTTAGTTTATAGGGCTCAGGGCTCAGGGTTTAGGGCTATTATTTAGAGTTTAGGGTTTAGGAGTTTTGGGGCTAGGGCTGGGATTTCGGGTTCTGAATCCTGTCTGCCTATACTATACTAAACCGTGCGTAATAGTGCGTAGTTGTTGTCGACGTTCGCTAAGCGTAATCCCTAGACTCGAGGTATACTCTAAACATCTCTAAACCTTAAACATTTAAGCCCAAACCCCTGAACCCTCGAAAAAAACTGAGCAAGAACCCTGATGCAGTACAGCTTTCAACAAACACGCTACCAGCCGGTGTTGAAACCCTTCTAAGGAACCATTAGGGTTCCCTGCGGATCCTTCAAGGAGGCCTTAGGGGAACCCCTTCTGGCTGCAGGAGTCCAAACGGGAGGCCAACTTAGAGTTGGCTGTGGTGGTGCCCTGCCAAGAAAGCTGGGGTTTCAGTTTCTAGGTTGTGAAGATGTAGCGGCCTAAATTACTACCCATACTACTTTGGGGGGTTCCTTTTTACTATTATTGTAGCTTAATATACCCCCAAAACCCTATTCTAATTATTAAGGCCCCTACAGTACGACTTCAGGACTTAAGCTTTAGGTTTATGGGTTTGGGGTGTAGGGTTTAGGGATTTGATGCAGGCTTTAGGTTTTAGGGATTGTGCGCTGGGCGATTCAGGCTTTAGGATTTATGTGTTGGCCGGTAGGGTGCAGGGACTACGGTTTTCTCTAGGCATAACTGATCCCAGGTTTAGGGTTTAGGACTAGTAGCGATTAATGGCCATCAGGCCTATCCAAGGATGCATGACCTAAATGTCTGCCTTCCTGTTCCAGATCGATCTTCCACAAAACCCTAAACTTCAAAAGGCACTCGGACTCCTGGTGGAGCTGCCGCTGTCAGAAATCCACTTTCAACAGGCCTCGCTGTGGGGATCGCAGTTTGGGGCTCTGGGGTTTCAGGGCTCCTTAGTACAGTTCTGGTCACTTTGAGTATATAATTTTTCCAGCCCCTGGTCTAGTCTAACTACTGAGGAAACGAGATCTTGTAACAAAAGCCATCAAACCCTGCGCAAACTTACGAAAACCCATACAGACCCGTGAAATTTCATTACAACGCGGTGTTTGAAAGCCGCGCGCTTCACGGCTGATCATTGCTGTCCCAGTTGGTCCTAAGGGGGGAGCTTCAAAGTACGCGAGTACCTGTGTGTTTGTTTATAGGCTTCACATGCCCTCACTCTGCGCAGGCCTTCAGTGCAGTTGCTTAGACCTAAGCTCAGGGCACGTCCAGACCTCAAGTGACTCTTGCCGCGCATAACCAGACTGTTCGATTCACGAGCAGACGACCCAAGCCCAAAACCCAAAATGGTGGTTTCCGACATTAGGGAACCCTAATATACCCTAAATAGTAGGATTCTTAGTATAATGGCCCCAAAATAAGGTACCTCCCTTATTTTCGGAAACTCCCAAAATCAAGTGTACTGAGGCCCGGGGCTACACTGAAAAACACTTTCGACCCGCTATCTCCTAAGCCAGCCACAACGCACAATTCTGTTGTTTTTGATACCTGGCGGTTTAGGGTTTACAGGGTTTGGGGTTTATACGGTCACGGTTTAGGGTTTAGGGTTTATAGGGTTTGGGGTTTAGTTAGGGTATGTTGAAAGCCCAAGCAATCTTAACCGAGCGCACTTTCTGGGCGCGAAGCCCGAACCCCCTGCACCCCCAGATACTCCTGCCCAGGGCCTGTGGCCACTGCTTGGGGCGCTCCGAGAACGGCTGCCGGCTGTGCAGGTCCGATGGCTGCAAACTCCAAACGTTAGGTGCCAGAGGATAGGGCACTGGGTTAGTAATAGTAATGATAATGTCTACAGGCACTCTCTGGTCTACTTGTTGCCTTCAGATTCCTTTGGTGACTTTTCACTGCGCGATCTGCTCCTGCAGGGAGTTTGTCCTCGGTTTCTTTGACGGTGCGCCAAGCTTTGACGACGAGGCTTACGTGTGGTCGAGTGTGGCTTGCGTTATGTGCGGCATGTGCATGCACACTGTCACAGAGCAACACGCAGCGGACCTGCGTCTTTCAATTCTCCCATCAACATGGCTCAAGTTTCGCGAGCCTCCACTTGCGACTGCCCACGTCAACATGCAGCAGCACGAGCTGGTGAAGATCAATGAAGCTGAGACGCCTTTCCCGGCAGTGTCGAGGTGAGACTGAGCCTGGATGGTTCGGTAGCAAAGGGCAGTAGGACTGCGATGCCCTAGATACCCGCCCCTACATCGGTTTGGGTTAGAGGGTTTGGGCATGCCGTGTAGGGTTCAGGTTTTAGTAAGTGGAATGCATATTCAGTACAGGTTCTTCACTCGGTTATAAGTAAATATTTTCAGAATATTCTAGTAGAATCCTCGACAACCCTTGTTTGACTCCTAAGGGTTTTAATTTTGCAGTGGATGTTCAAAATAGATTCAGGTGTAGCTCAGGGTCCATGTTCCCATCTCGTATAGACTTGTACCATCTTGTACCCGAAAGTCCCCACTAACTGTGGGCCTGTCTTCGAATACTGCTGTCTTGTCAAGAGGGCCATCCGCACTTGTCAAGTTTGAGTGCTTTGCCATCCAGCATGACCCAAAAAACGACCCCTTCGAACGCCATTTCGGTTCAGGTGCTTAAGGGTCGCCATGGTGCGATTAGAAAAGGGTTAGCCTACATACCCCCAATATATAATAATACCTGTTGTGAAAACGAAAGTGTGTTGGAACCCCTTTAGGAGGATCCTCATTTCAAGGACACCGAATTATCATAAACGCCCTGATGATGAACACATATGTAGCCCATATAAAACCTGCTTCTGAGCCCATCTAGGACCGGCCCTTATGTGAACCCATCCAGAGCCCTAACCAGCCCCAAAAAAGCCTTTGATGAACCCACAGAGAAAAGGGGTTCAGGGTTTAGTGTTTAGCCCTAGACGGCACTTCCCTAAACCCTAAACCCCTAA